GTCTGTTTTTGTATGTCAGCGCATTCATAGGAAGCATGTTTCCTTCAGTGCAAAATGGCTGAAACTTGGCCAAGCCAAACAGTGGCATGAACTGAAATTAATTCCTGACATTTCTCATTATAACGATTAACCCTGTTAACTATCACCTTTGGTGAATTGGAAACTGTGCTAAATATTTTATGCTAAAACCACTACACTGCTAAATTATCCAACTTCTTCTTGAAACTTGGCTATATTAAAATAAAGTTTAAATGTATTCAAATTTGCTGTGTAGTGAATAAAGCCCCTGTACATGCAACCTAATAACTCCATACAAACCTGGATTCTATTACATTGTTAGCCTCCTACATAAACCAGCACTGCCTGCTATGAGCTGTTGCAGAGATGCTCTCAGCGGTCCAGCTGTGACTTAGCGTGGTGTTTAAAGGTAGATTGGATTGTTGAACCCTGAACTGTCATGATTGCAGTTAGCTAAACACTGTGTTTAGCATTGTGCTGTGTTATGCAATCTTGAATCATGGCTATGGTACACAGATGGCTGGAAGTTATGTTCTTCTAGTAACCTAGAGATTAAGTGAGCTATACTAAAGCATAAGTCTTCAAGTTAACTTTTTTTTTATTTTTAGCAGGACTGTATGCATGCCCTCTAGTGAGCAAGCATTATCCTGGGCTTCTATTTAGTGGAATGTGGCACTAAATTGTAGACTTTATTTACTGACCAAGAACCTGCTCGTAAGACCCAACCATTTTGTGTCTTGCTCCTACTGTTACATATTTCTGGTGTGTGTACGCAACTTGTGAGTTTCTACCCACCACACATTATAGACAAAATGTGCAGTAGATTAATTAATATATAAACTTTACTTTTTTTTATTACACTATATGATGCCTGATCACTATGTTGAATCGTTGCCATGGTAAACTGTGGCTACGCTCCGAGCAGCAGAGGCTGAGGTGAGGCTGCAGCCTCCCTTCACTTATCCTATCCGACTGATCTCGCCACCAGGTCGGCTATGAATATAGGAAGCGAGGCTGGTGCCCAATCTGTATAGGCCGGCATGGAAGATCCTTTCATCTCCACTGTTGGCCACAACCCACCAGGAAAATCTGACATTGGACTGCAAGAGGTAAACATTTTGTCTGATTAAGGTAATCAGGATTTTTTTTTTTTTTTATCTTGAACATACTAAAAAATGGGGTGGATATGAGAGGATCTGTAAAACGATGCACAGCTACAACCTTTTTACTAAAACACTCACTACTTGACTAAGTAACATTTTACTTAGTGCCCGTGTGGCACCTGATCCCAGGGCTGGATTTCACATTGAGCAGAATAGGCAGTGGCACCTGACATTTAAATCCGGCTCTTCATGATCCTATTGTAGCAGAGTGCTATATTTTACTGTTTTGCTTTAAAGGAACACTATAGTCACCTAAATTACTTTAGCTAAATAAAGCAGTTTTAGTGTATAGATCATTCCCCTGCAATTTCACTGCTCAATTCACTGTCATTTAGGAGTTAAATCACTTTGTTTCTGTTTATGCAGCCCTAGCCACACCTTCCTTGGCTATGATTGACATAGCCTGCATGAACAAAAAAAAAAAAACTGCTTTAACTTTCAAACAGATGTAATTTACCTTAAATAATTGTATCTCAATCTCTAAATTTAACTTTAATCACATACAGGAGGCTCTTGCAGGGTCTAGCAAGCTATTAACATAGCAGGGGATAATAAAATCTTAATTAAACAGAACTTGCAATAAAGAAAGCCTAAATAGGGCTCTCTTTACAGGAAGTGTTTATGGAAGGCTGTGCAAGTCACATGCAGGGAGGTGTGACTAGGGTTCATAAACAAAGGGATTTAACTCCTAAATGGCAGAGGATTGAGCAGTGAGGCTGCAGGGGCATGTTCTATACACCAAAACTGCTTCATTAAGCTAAAGTTGTTCAGGTGACTATAGTGTCCCTTTAAGTGTGTTAAGGGACCCTCCGGGCAGCTAAAGGAGTCAAGCTTAAATTAAAGCTAATTAGCTCAAATACCTGTGGTTAGTTTCTTTTCTTTCAATTCTGTTTTATATTTCCTGCAGTGCTGTAAAATGGTTTGCTGGTTTTAGCAGTGTAACCTAGCCTCCTTAGCCACCCCCTCTTACATTTCAACATGTTCCTCATTCCCAGTCTCTGAAAGAAACATACCTTTTGCAGCCAATGAATAGAGGCATGTCTTCTGTGGTGTAAGGAATGTTCACAGCAGACTGCACCAAAGAGACAAGGCTAGAGCTTATATGTGCTCATCTCCCTCCCTGCAATGCAAGCAATAAATTATCCTCCAGCACCTGTCAGCCAAACTCAAGACCCACTGTTAACTTCTTCCCTGCCAGTCCCTGTCAGCCAATATTCCTACCCACTGTTAACCCCTTCCCCTCCAGTCTCTGTTAATCAACATAGATAGATAAAACAAAGCTCTTGTGGGTATTTGAGTTTGTCTGTCTCTTTATATTTATTTAAAATAAACATATGACACTATATGATACCTAATCTGGTGAGGAAATGTTTGTGTGCAGGGCCTTAGGCAATTAGGTGCCCTGTGCGAAAAGTCCTCACGGTGGCCCACCCCCTCATCCCCCACCAAGTTGCCTGTATACAGTCACACAAACAGTTGCAAGCAGACAGTCACACACACACTTACAGGCAGACAGTCACACATGCTCAGTTACAGGCAGACAGTCACAGAGCCAAGCACACAATCACGAACAGTTACAGGCACACAGTCACAAGCAGACAGTCACACATACACCATTACAAGCAGACAGTCATACACACTCGGTTACAGGCATGTGCGCACACACACACTCAGTTAAAGGCAATCACACATACAGGCACACACAATGGCACAGTGACACACAATTGGAGTCACACACAATCAGTCACATACACAGACAGTCACACACACACAGGCAGGCAGACAGTCACATACACACACACACACTGATAGACAGTCACACACACAGGTAGGCAGGCAGTCACACAGACAGTCACACACGCAGATAGACAGTCACACACACAGGAAGGCAGTCACACACAGACACACAGCCACAGACAGACAGTCACACACACACACAGGCAGACACATAGGCAGGCAGTCACATAGATAGGCAAACAGTCACACAGACAGACAGTCACACACGCAGGCAGGCAGTCAGATAGAAAGTCACAATCACACACACAGTCACACGCAGGCAGTCACACAGGCAGGCAGGCATTGACACACACACAGGCAGGCAGTCACACATACAGGTAGTCACACACACACAGATAGGCAGTCACACATACAGACAATCACACACACACACACACAGGCAGTCACTCAGACAGACAGTCACACACACACACTTACCTTTTTCAAGTGGATGCAGTAGGTTGTTGGGGAAGCTTCCCTCTTCCTGTGCAGCAGTTACCAGGGGCTTCGGGAAGGTACTAGCTAGCCCCTCCCCTCGTTAAGCCCAGCCCCTGCTGCTTCGATTTTTTAAATTTTTTTTTAATAAAAAAGGGTACCTGTTTTTGCTTCCCTGATGCCTGTCACCAGGCCATGTGCGAGCTGTGTCAGCCACATGGCGCCCCCTGGTCCATGGCGCCCTGTGCGGCCGCACAGCTCACACATCCCTAAGGCCACCATAGAAATAATCAATTTTGGCCTAAATGATGTCATTGGATTCTGATTTGCTACAGTTCATAGATTGTGATTTCTGAGTCTATTATTAATATATACATGGATATTAAAGAGACACTATTACTATAGTGACTATAGTGTCTCTTTAATATCCATGTATATATTAATAATACAATAATAGTCTATAGTGTCTCTTTAATATGCATGTATATTAATAATACAATAATAGTCTACAGTGTCTCTTTAATATCCATATATATATCACTAATACAATAATAGTCTATAGTGTCTCTTTAATATGCATGTATATTAAGCCCAGGGGAGGTAACACTGGACAAATATTAGTTTTTTGCTTTTTTCACACAAAAATAAATATGAACGCTAACTTTGGCCAGTGTTTGTGACTAAGTGGCTACTAAAAAAGACTAAACATACCCCACTTTCAATACCTTGGCTTGTCTACTTTTTCAAATGGTATGCCATTATGGGGGTAATTCTCATTCCTGGGCTACCACACCGTCTCAAAGGTAACATTCTGTTCTGGCAAATTTCAGTTTGAAAATGGAACGTTCTACATTTGACCCTGTAACTTTCCAAAACACCATAAAACCTGTTAATGGGGGGGTACTGTTGTACTCGTGAGACATCGCTGATTACAAATATGTGCATTTTTTTGCAGTAAAACCTAACAGTATTATGACATTTACAGCTAAAATGTGAGGTGGAACTACAAATTTTTAAAACAAATTGAAATTTCTCACAGTTTTAATTTTATTCATAATAAATTATGTTTCATAGCTAAATATTTGATATGAAATGAAAACCTTATTTCTCCTGAACAAAATGATATATAAGAAGTGTGGGTGCATTTAATATGAAACAGGTGAATAACGGTTGAACAGACATATAGCGCAAATTACAGTTTTTGTTTACATTTTGTTTTGATCACAACGTGTACTATTGACTCCGTCCTGAAGGGGTTAATAATACAATATTAGTCTATAGTGTCTCTTTAATATCCATGTTTATATTAACAATACACTCAGAAATCACAATCTATGAACTGTAGCAAATCAGAATCCAATGACATCATTTAGGCCATAATTGATTATTTGAAATAATTCTCCAACTCAGTTAATCCAAAGGTCTTGGTACCAGCCATATAAGATATCAAGCACCCCAGGAGAGTGTGTAGCTAGATGGATAGTTAGATGTGGAGGATTTGTGCATATTTCAGTTCAATGTCTTGACGTCTTATGGAAGGTTATGTTTTGGAACGGAATTGTTGAAGCACATCTTTTATAGTTTGATTTTCTTCCTATTTTTGACCTTAGCTGCGCTCCGTAGCGTTGCGTTCCAAGAGCGGCGTGCGTGCGTGGATGGATCCCCCCCCTCCTGTGAAGCAGGCGGGACCAGGCTCAAAAGCGTTGCATTGTGGGAGCTCCTTCCTTTCTCGGTCCCCGGCCATCTTGAAGCTAGATCTCTGGTGAGTGAGGCTCCGGATTCCGAGGGGCTTTCTCCCCTTTCGCGGCCCCGCAGGTGGTCGGTCACAGCTCGCACGCAGAGCTCTCACTGTCCCGAGTCTCACTGTGTCCTTTCCTGTCTCCTGCAGGTCCGGATTCCCAGCGCTGCAACCATGGTGGCCGCAAAGAAGACGGTGAGTGAGGCCTCGTCTCTCACGTGGAGCCTGGCCCGGGCTGGGGGCCTCACAGTGTATCAGCCGGCAGCATGTGGCTGTCACTCACCCTGTCCAGCACCGGCCCCTTCCCATAGGGTCTCACAGTATATACCTAGACACAATCTGGGGAGCTCACAGTAACTGGCTCCCATGGGTTAAAGTACATACAGAGCTTTAAACTGGTTTAGAGAGTGTGTATATAGAGTGAGAGTGTGTATATATTATTATATATATATATATTTTTTTTTTCTCTGTAGTTGGTATTACAGTTTTTTGTTTTGTTTTTTTCTGTAATGTTTTATTTTATTTACTTTTTTGAATTACTTTTCAAATAAATCCTTTATAAAACGTAGAGCAAATATAGTGCATCCTATACTGGACTCTTTTCTAGGTGATGGCCTCATGTCTATAACTTTGTACCACAACTACTTTTCATACACCAGCACAGCGTTGTAGCACACCTCTGAGTGCAGTAAGCGCTCCAGGGCATCGGTCCCCACCAAAAACAAAACTGTTTGACGCGGTCTTTAAATGTGTATAGGTGAATTAACTATTAAAATGTGCATGTCTGTATATAATATGAGAAGCCCTCACTATTGTGTTTAATTACAATGTGAGTATGGCTGTAAACACTCCCATCTGTCTAAGGGGCTTTATAGAATTTAAATTTTTGCTTGAAATTAAAGGTGTTTTAGATACGCCAGGGGAAACATGCAGTTACCAAATCAATCATTTCAGCAAGCTGATGTGATTTAGTATACTTGAATAACTTTTGAAGTGAGACTATTTTATTATATATTTTTATTTATATAGCGCCTTACTAATCTGTAGGTAGTCATATGGCTTCTTTAAGATTATTGTATGAGTTAGATACTCATGATAATGCAAAGCTAGATTGATGGGCTACATTATGTATAATAGACCAAAACCCCTTTAGGTAACCATTTATAGACCTGTCTAGACGAGCACATTGAGCATGGTCTTCCATCCTCTCTGTTCCTCTACGTCCAGTTGTCTGGTTACAATTACATGTCTGTTAGTCCACCCATTGTACAGCGCAACAGAATCTGCTGGAGCTATATAAATAATAAAATAGATTAAATGCTTAACTGTAAAAAAAATAATAATAATAAAAAAAAATTAGTTAGACATTCTATTTAAACACCAACACACAACCCTTTTAGCCTGTGAGTTCTTTAATGTTAAGTTACAACATGTTGGTGTTTGTGTTCTGTTTTTATATCTAGAACCAGCTTCTCTGCAAATTTTTGGGGAGATGTACTTTATTTTTCCGTGGTAAAATAGTAATGTTTAAGTTTTGAGTTAACCAGTCTTTTCCACCCTCTTCCATTTTAGAAAAAGTCCTTAGAGTCCATTAACTCTAGACTTCAGCTGGTTATGAAAAGTGGTAAATATGTCCTTGGTTACAAGCAGACATTGAAAATGATTCGTCAAGGCAAGGCCAAGCTGGTTATTCTTGCCAATAACTGTCCAGCTCTGAGGTGAGTGCGTGTTTTGGATTTCAAATTTGATTTAGTCTGTTTGCAAACCGCATGTTAAAAACGAAAATTCTCTGTACTACATTCTAACAAAGGGTTAATTCAAAGGGTAGGCAATGTCTGACATTCTGTTCCAGATGTGCCCAAGTGTTTGCAGACAAACGGGAATAAAATATTTGCATTCATGCTTTAGCATTCTATGAAAAAGCACAAATGTCTGTCACCTCTTAAACTTACATTTTCCTTGTTTCAGTTAGATGTTTAAGTGCAAAGAAAAGATGATTTGTCACTTGTACCTCTAATTTTGACTCTCTTGAATGGACCTTTTGATGGCTTTGCATTGAGACAGTCCATTAAGTATTGGGATCTATTTTGCCTCCATGATGAAGATAACGAACTTGTATACTTAATAGCAGTTGTGCATAACCACAAGTAGCTCTATAAGAGTGAAGGATTGTTTAGAACTATCTCCAACACTTATCCAATAGAAACACAAAATATCTGTTCACTTTTGGAAACTCTTTAACCCCTTAAGGACACATGACATGTGTGACATATACTGATTCCCTTTTATTCCAGAGGTTTGGTCCTTAAGGGGTTAAAAGGACTTCTATTATAGATGCTTACTCTAGGCGCAATGCTGCCTACTAGATAAAAAAATAAAATAAAAATTTCTGCAGACTTTAAAAGTGGTCCCCTTATTTGTCAGATGCCTGCTGTCACAGTGAGAGCTTAGTTTTTTTTGTTTTGTTTTTTTAAATGAAATTTGTATTCCCTGAGTAGTGGGGAAGCGTCTGCGAGAAGAATGTAATGCATCTTGTTTGAAATACACGAACTTTGTGTCACTTTCAAAATATCACCTATGAAATTGTAGAGTAGGCTAACAGTGTAAAGTTGTAGAGTATTTACAGATACTCTGCTACAAACCCATTTGTTTGTATGTTGGATATTCATTCATTTTGGAATGTTTGTATAAATGCTTGCGCCTAGCTTGCTATTAATAGAACAATTATTTGTACTATGAGTTACTTTTCTTCACTCTGGCAAATCCAGTATAGAAGTGAATTGTGGTGTGTAGTATAGCTTACATACACTTTTGAGCCAGATTTTTTTTTTTTTTTTCAGATACATCCAGTTTCCCAGTCAAAGCATAGTCAGACCCAACTCCCCCCCCCCACTCACAAGTCATGTCAGTAAGATGGCCTCTGACTTTGGCACAGCCTAAGTATGTAGTTATTGACCACATTTGTAGGCCAACAGCAAACTTAAAGGAACACTATAGGGCTGGCCCCTCAAAGTATAAAACTTGTCTTATTTCCCATAGGAAAGCATTGGGAGGCTATTGCACATGCACAACAAAACATTGCACGGCACCAACCCGCATCTCCTCACAGAGATGCAATTGCTCAATGATCTCTATGGGGAATGTTCAGTATCTCCATACAGAGCGACTGCCACTGGAGGTGTTCCTAGGTAGTAATGTAAACACTGCCTTTTCTCTGAGAGTGCAGTGTTTACATTTAAAATACAAAACAAACTGAGGGAAGAGTAATCGCCATCAGGGGAGAACTCAAATGCTGATAGATTTTATTTATATCTCTATCTCTCAATAGAACCGAAGTGAAATAAATACTTAACAGCTACCAGAAGTTCCTTCAAGTTATCTACTGTATTGGAGGTATAATGCTCCACAAATCAATGTTGGTCATATGTATCCAAAAAAAGTAGGCTGTTTTTCTCTTTTCCGACTCTGTCTCCCAATGTTAAGTCAAATTGTATCTTATCGTGTAGAAACAAATAAAGGTATTCGTCTTTTGGATACATATGACCAATCTTGATTTGTGGAGCATTATACCTCCAATACCATAGATAGCTTGAAGGAACTTCTGGTAGCTGTTAAGTATTTATTTCACTTCAGTTCTATTGATACATATATTTGAGCATTTGAGTTCTCCCCTGGTGGGGGTTACTCTTCCCTTAGTGTGTTTTGTATTAAATCTTTAGGGTCCAATCCTATAGGTGGAGCTGATACCACCATACTGACTTCTGTCTCGGAGTCTAACTAGTTTGGACTTAGAGGCTGTAATTTTATTTTGCTTTCTTTACATTTAAAATGTCTGCAGGGACAGGCTATAGACATCAGAATCATTGCATTAAAGGGTCACTATAGGGTCAGGAACACAAATATGTATTTCTAACCCTATAGTGTTAAAACCACCATCCAGGCTCCTCACGCCTCCAAAAATATAGCAGCATCTTACTGTATTCAAGCCAGAAGCTGTAGATCTGCATGCGGTTTGTCTAAAAAAAAAAAAAAAAGTCTTCTGTCATCAGAAGTGGTAGCCTGATCCAATCACAATGCTTCCCCATAGGATTGGCTGAGATTGACAAGGAAGCAGATCGGGGCAGAGCCAGTACAATTCAAACACCGCCCTGGTCACTCAGCATCCCCTCAAAGAGATGAATTTAATCAATGAATCTCTGAGGAAAGTTCAGTGTCTGCATGCAGAGGGAGGAGATACTGACTGTTTGGATGCATTTTAGGCAGCCATGACCCAGGATCTCTAACTATCAGAGGAGTGGCCAGTGAAGTTATCACTAGGCTGTAATGTAAACACTGCATTTTCTCTGAAAAGACTGTTTACAGCAAAAGGCCTGAAGTTAATGATTCTACTCACCAGAACAAATCCAATAAGATGTAGTTGTTCTGGTGACTAGTGTTCCTTTAAAAAGCCAAACTTAATGTTTGGTTACAACTATATAGATTTAATAATCTCTTGAGACAGATCCTGCTCATGTTTGTTTAGTAACCTGATCTTCGATTTTTATTTTTTTTAACCTCCAACAGAAAATCAGAAATTGAATACTATGCAATGTTGGCAAAGACCGGTGTCCATCACTACAGCGGTAACAACATTGAGTTGGGCACAGCCTGCGGAAAGTACTACAGAGTGTGCACGTTGGCCATTATTGACCCAGGTAATCATGTCTTTCTAAATGAACATTCCTTACTCTACTGTAAAATTGTGTGTGGGAGGGGTCTTGTGTTCTGCGAATATATTCTCGCCGGCTTAACCTATCTGTGATTTTGTCCGGGCTAGAGATTCGCTAGATTAAGACTAGTCTGTGTCCTCAGAGCTTGCTGTATATCTGGTTCTGATTCTTGAATGCTAGTTACACTTTTATTTTTATTATGAAAAACAATATTTTGCTTAATGCAAAGTTCAATAAAGTTAAATGCTGGGCACTGCTTTAAAGGAAGACTCCAAGAAACAACTACAACAGTAAAACTTTTCAGCCTTGGTTGTCTTATTTAAAAAAAAAAAAAAAGTAACATGGTTACTGCCCCATTTTTTTTAATTTTTTTTTTTTTTTGGGTTTCCCAAAAACTATTCTATAATTAACATTATAGAAACCATTTACAAAAATAAAACATTCAATGGATACTTTTAATATGTTGACATTTTAAAATTTTACATCATTCAGCATAGCAGAAAAACAAACACAAAAAAATGCAATATGACAATGAGAGAAATTAAATGTAGACTGCCCCATCTTTTTAATGTTAAATGTACTTGATATTTTTGGTTTGGTGGGAAACTGATTTTAAATCTGTGCTCTGGGATTTAAGAAATACTGACCATAATGTTGTATGTCTTTGTCTTGTAGGTGATTCAGACATCATTAGAAGTATGCCAGAACAGCAGGCTGCTGAGAAGTAAATTTCTACTCTGAACTGTTCTAAATAAAACTGGTTTCCCAAATATCTGTCTGATCCTTTAAACACAGCTTAATTTGATTCTGTGATACTACCCTAATTTGCTTCACTTTTTATACCCTTATTGACTTCACCTTTTCCTATAGCTACAGAATTCCAATGCAATTAATTTTTTTTTTTTTTTTTACTTCCTCAAACCTATATTTTCATTTTAATATGCATCTTTTAGACAGTCAAACGTCTGAGTTTAAGTTGACTACTGTGATCATTAAAAAGACAATGTCTAGATCTATAAAGGCTAACCTCTGGTACTATAGTTGAGGTATACCTCTGTGATGCTCTGCTTTGGCCCAATTTAGTGCCACAGGTTAGCCATAACAAGCTGTAAAAGGTTGCCTGTCCAGTCTGGACTCCACCTTAAAATGCATGATGCATTGTAATGGTTAGCTGACCTGCTCAGGCTACCACTGCCATCAAACTATGGATGAACTTGCAGTTGCTTTTGTCTAAATCCTGCATTAGCCATGCAATAAGCACCCCTTGCATTCTCTACATATTACTGTCCAAAACAGCATGGGGTAATGAGGATGTTCAATGATCTTTGCTCAAGAACTGCTATAATTAACTGTAGTAGGCATGGTGCTTTGTGTTTATGGGAGTTCTAAAATAAAAAAAGGTGGCAACCTGACTAACATAAAATGTTGGTTACCATAAACTAGTTTGTTACATCAGAGAGACATATCTACAATTTTCAAGGCAACATACATTAAATGAATACTGTAGTGTTAGGAATACAAATGTGTATTCCCAACACATAGTGCTCTTTTAAACATTTATGTCTATGACCCGCCCTTGAACAGTGTTGGGATTTATTTACCCCTGCTGTAAGCATTCTTGGATGAGATAATTCACTACTTCATAAAAGGGACATTCCAGTCACCATAACTTCATATAAATTTAATTGCTATGGTGCCAGGAGGCCCCCAGGTGCACTCTTACCTTAAGGAGCTAAACCGTTCTCTAATAGTTTAACCAGAAAAGTTGTCTTCATCACCAATCTCAAGGTCCCCCAGGTGGTGTACAGTTTCTGAATTTGTGTTACAAGAACCGTGGCAGTCTCTCAGATGTAGCTCCCCAGCTACTGATCGGCTTAGTGTCAGCCAATCAGTGGGGGCACCCATGTTTCCTGTAACTCAGATTCAGAAGCTGGATGCCGCTTTGGGGATCTTGATATTGGGGCAGGAGGAATCCTTTTGGGGTTAAACAGTTTGCGGTCACTGAAGGTACACATAGTTAAGAATGAACCACTGCTGCAACAAGTGCCATTCTTGGTGGTGCCGTCCTAGCAACCCCATAAGTGTTATTTTAATTAAAATAGTTATACTGTAAGAAATCATCAAAAAAAAAATCAATCATTTTTTTTTTTTTTCCATTATTTTGTGTCCGGAACAACGTTCAGGCCACCACCATCTTTCTGTGGGACATGTCATCTGCCCATACTCGATAGCGCGATTCCCGTACATGCCCAGTTAAACACTTGGGCATGCGAACGGGAATTTCATCTATTCATTCGTCATAACAAACAATATCGGTGTTTGTTCGTTCAGTTTATTACAAAGAGGGAACTACCGGCGCGCAGTTCCCTTCTTGTAAAATGTAAAGATAGAAGCGGCAGGGAACAGCTCCCCGCCACTTCCTAATCCCACCATGTCCTCCCTCACTCTATGGAGGCCCTATTGTCCTCTCCCCACCCCTGAGTGGCAGGTGGGGATATAAGCCTTATCCCCTAGTCACCTTGGAAGGGGGCCATTTTCATTTAGGGCCCCCACCCACCGCTAAGGGTGCGGGCCGGGGGACGACGACAATATGTACTCCTCCCTCCCCTCATTGTCTCTTCATGGTTACACGGCCAGGGGTAAGTGGTGGACAATAATGCCTTTCCCACCCCCATTGTTGCCATGGGCCTACACCCACCGCCTTCAGTGGGAGGACAAATAGCCCCTTTGTTGCCCAAGTATTATGGTCCCCCCTACTGTTATTTATGGTTCCCACCCACCGGCCAGAGGTGGCCGAGGAGGACAATAGGTCCCCTCCTCATTGTCTTTTATGCCCCCACTCCGTGGCTCACAGGGGTGGTGGCTGATAGGTCCACCCCATTATTATTTATGGCCTCACCCACTGCTGCTCAGGGGTGGGGTCCAGGGTGGTCGGGCCAAGTGTTCCCCCCACCTCTGCCTCTATGGCCCAGGTGGGGGGGAGGACAATAGGTCGTCGTCCCCCTCATTGTTATTTATGGCCCCCACCCACCGCTCAGGGGTGGTGGACAATAGGTCCCCCCATTGTTATTTATGGGCCCCCACCCATCGCTCAGGGGGAGGACAATAGGTCCCCACCCGCCGCTCAGGGGTGGGGGCTGGGGGGAGGACAACAATAGGTCCAATTTAGGTCTTTCAGCCTTTTGGTAGATAACTCCCTGATTCCCACAGTATTAGGGAGCTATCTACTAAGCGGCTGCAAGATGCAGCCGCAGCACGAATAGGATCGGAGTTTCATTCATTAGAATAAAATTCCGATCCGAACAAAGTCCCGAATTGCGTTCTAACACGAATGAAGAAACTGTTCTCATTCTGTTAAGACGCAATTCGGCAGTTTGCCGGTGTTCTTTCAGATTCTGATAGCGTCAAAAGGAAGTGACGTGGGTATAGAATTCTAACAAGGTATGAGAACCTGATAGAACACCGGCGTCCTCTCTATAATGGCAGGACGTTCGGGAATACTGACAGGAAGCATTGCAGGAACAGGGAGGAAAGCTAAGAATTGTGGGAAAACTTCTGACCACCGGAAACTAAGCACTCTTTGCTCCTCCGCTGGTCAGAGATGGTCAGGCGTAGGAAACCTCCATAAGACAAAGTAGGGACTACTTGTCTTATGTTTTAAAGAAAACTGGAGCAAATAGGAAGAAACGGAGAACAGATCCTGAGAGAAGAGGAATTGTTTAAAGAAGGGTAAGTTTGGCATGACAGTGCTGCTTTAAGCAAATATTACATAATTATCAAAGGAAGCATAGGTTAAAGGGACACTATAGTCAACATATAAAAGCAAGACAGACCGGTCCCCCAGCCTTCTTTCTTGCTTTTTTTATGAACTTGCCATAAAAAAATAAATAAAACCTCCGTTCCAGCGCCGAGCTCCCCGCTAGGCCATGCCCCCATTTTTGTCAAAATGACGCTCCTTGAGAAATGTCATTGTGAAGCGCATGCACGGTTTTACGCTGCACCAATCACATTCTTCATAGAGCGGCATTGAATGCCGCCCTATGAAGAAACTCAGCGCTCAACCGTGCATGTCTGACAGCTCAGCTCGCTTTCTATACCCGCCCCCCTTCTCTGCCAAACTGTGTTTGCATAGAAATAAAAGGAACAAGATAAGGCTGCGCTAAATAATAAAAATCTAAATAGAGTCTCTTAACTGGAGTAGGATCTACTTAGAATCCAGAGTCCTTCAAGTGCTTGGTCTTGGAAGGTGCTTTGTCCGAGGAGAAGTATCCTGGCTGCTTGTTCTTCAACAGAGTCGGTAGCTTGGAACGAGAAGAGCAGACATACAAACCAAAAATAGTGTAATATGACCTATATAATATAGAAAATGATATAGAAGGAGGTATTCCACTCACGTGAGGTAGAGCTGTAACTAGCTCTAGTATAGCAGGCGTGCAGTGGTATGATCCCCGCTTGTAGGATATAATGAAGAGTATGTAGCAGGATACTGGGTCCGCGAGACGATGATGCACTCAAATACAAATAGAGAGACAACCAATAGTGTTGACTGATAGGAATAAAATGAAGATAAAAGGGTACTCACAAGGAAGGAGCAGGCAAACTGCTCCTTGGAGATAGCGTCGATGGTATGATCCCCACCTGAGGATGGTTTGGAGTCCACGAGATAAAAATGCCAGGTAAAAAATTAATAAAAATGTGTGTATAAAATGTATATATAAAAAGATATTGGTACAATTTTTAAGAGGGACCAAAAAATCTTTAATACAATAAAATACACATATATAATATCCACAAACGCGTTTCACCATAAAAAGGCTTCTTCAATTTGGAATGTTGGAATGTTGAACATTCCATATTGAAGAAGCCTTTTATGGTGAAACGTGTTTGTGGATATTATATATGTGTATTTTATTGTATTAAAGATTTTTTGGTCACTCTTAATTTGTACCAATATCTTTTTATACACACATTTTTATTTATTTTTTACCTGGCATTTTTATCTTGTGGGGATCATACCACCGAAGCTATCTCCAAGGAGCAGTTTGCCTGCTCCTTCCTTGTGAGTACCCTTTTATCTTCATTTTATTCCTATCAGTCAACACTATTGGTTGTCTCTCTATTTGTATTTGAGTGCATCATCGTCTCGCGGACCCAGTATCCTGCTACATACTCTTCATTATATCCTACAAGCGGGGATCATACCGCTGCACGCCTGCTATACTAGAGCTAGTTACAGCTCTACCTCACGTGAGTGGAATACCTCCTTCTATATCATTTTCTATATTATATAGGACGTATTACACTATTTTTGGTTTGTATGTCTGCTCTTCTCGTTCCAAGCTACCGACTCTGTTGAACAAGCAGCCAGGATACTTCTCCATGGACAAAGCACCTTCCAAGACCAAGCACTTTACGGACTCTGGATTTTAAGTAGATCCTACTCCAGTTAAGAGACTCTATTTAGATTTTTATATTTCTATTATTTAGCGCAGCCTTTTATCTTGTTCCTTTTATTTCTATTGTATTGGAGGGTTGTTTGAGGGATTCCCTTTACAGGTTGCAGCTTTTGTGTTACCTAGCGCTTACCCTTTTTCCTTTTTTATTGTGTTTGCATAGAAAATATATATATATATATATATATATATACACCTCTCTATACAAGTAAAAAAAAAAATAGACATATACACACACACTCTCTATCCATCCATCCATTCCCATCATCCATATCCACCCACCGTCACCCACCCACCCACACTCACTAAATACATTTACTTACAGTTTGAATCCTCCCCTCCTCCTCGGTCTCCGGTCTTCAGCTTGTCCGCTCAAGTCACTCCCACGCAGACAGGATGCTTGTGCACAGAGCTGCCCTCTGTCTGCTGACAGCAGATCTGAGTGGATTGAGGCGTTTTATGCCTCAATCAACTCTGAAGTCCCTCTGGTGGCAGTCTGAGTGACTGCAACTGGAGGTGTCTCTAGCTTTGAATGTAAACACTGTATTTTCTCAGAAAATACAGTGTTTACGTGAGAGAGGCTGCAGGGAGCTATAGTTCTCACCTGAACAACCTCATTAAGCTGAAGTTGTTCAGGTGACTATAGTGTCCCTTTAATTTTCATTGGCTTAACCATTTAACATTATATTTATTTTTTGTTTTAACCGTTTAAGTCCTCCTGCTAAGAGACTGTTATATTTCCTTTTGGATTAACCATTTCAGTCCTACTGCTAAGAAAGACTGTTATACTTCCTTTTGGATTAACCACTTGGATTCTTCTGCTGAGAAAGACTGTTATACTTTCTTTTTGTATTAACCACTTAACTCCTCCTGTAGAGAAAGACATATTTCTTTTTTGGATTTACCACTTAAATTCTCTTGTTGAGAAGGACTTTTATATTTTTCTTTTTTTTTTGATTAACCATAAGTATTCCTGCTGAGTCAAGTCATCTGCCAAGACATAGACAAGAAAGCTCCTGTCTGAATTTGGTTTCTTAAAAGTAACAACACATATATTTATATATTAAGTGTATTCAATAATAAATTGAAAAGTAGTGGGGGCGGGGCCTGCACGCTGAGCCGGATGGACGTGGAGCGCCTTGGCTCCACGATGAAAGCCCATTAATCAGCCCAAAACTACTATATCTCCCCCTAAAAAACAACCGGCAACTATGAGAAGGCACTGGGGACCTGAGCCACAACACTTGGGGCAGCTGTCGGCCCATACCCTACCGGCAAGGCTGACTGCTGGGCGGATGGTATTGCGGCCCGTCGTGAGGCTCTGGCGGGAGAAATGGCCGATCTCCCGCGCTTAGTCCGGCGGGTCCTCCCGCACGCCGGCAAAGGGCCTCGTTCTCCCCCCCCCTGTGGGCCGGGGGGGTTATCCCGGACCCCACCGGGAAGGCGGAGATCCCTTTGGGCAAACAGTGAGGTGAACAGACCACTCAGTGACCGCGTGGAACAACCCAAGATGGCCGCCGCACCCAGTATAAGCCGATGCATGGAGGCAGCGACAGTCAAGCAACAGCTGAGTACTGTCTGGAAACGGAGGCTGACCTGAAAGTTATGCATCGACAGCGGCTAGTGGAGAACCCTCTCCGCCCATCAGACAACCCTGAAGGGTGCACATTCATTAAGTAACCATGGCTAATAATCGTTTTACCTGAGGCAACATTTCCTTTGCGGCGGATGGATCTGTGGGGACCATACTGAGACTCTGACCCTGCATTAACATGGAGGAATAAAGGACACTGGACACAAGACTCATTTCCTAGCTGTGACTGATACTCATATATTACTAGGATCCCAGCAGAGCACTAGATACCTTTTTATGTTAACATGCCACTCTGTGTCATTCTCTGTATTATTATGAGTCTATTAAAATTGATCTGGTTCCTGCAGATCCACACAGCACAAATTTGGAAATCATTTAATAATGAATGAGCACACATGTATATGTTAGCCGACTGACCCAGCGACTCACTGCCCCCTGGTGGTTAACTTTAATTAACTAGAGAAACCTGTATCTGATGTTATTTTGCATAAGCCTGTAACTAAATAGTTATACAACCACTGTTTAATTAAGCATGCATAGAATAGCTATAAAAGTCTTACTTAACAGCACTATGCTTGTTATATTGTTTTATTCTGCATGATCTATAATTTAAAAATGTGCAACGCATGCGACTGCCATAACCCTGTACATCTTATCTCTCTGTTTGCTGCAGCTGTTGTGGCGCACCAAGCAATGTTACCTCTTTGCACGCAATAAATAAAGAATTAAAAAAAAAAAAATAATTGAAAAGTAGTAAATTGATATTTTTAATTTAACATCCCCCTCCCTTTAACCCCTTAAGGACACGTGACATGTCATGATTCCCTTTTATTCCAGAAGTTTGGTCCTTAAGGGGTTAAAATATGCATTATTATTATTATTTGAATTCATATAGCGCCAACAAATTCTGTAGCGCTTTACAATATTTAATTACAAGCAAGTGGGTCCTGAAAAATAACTGTATTCAAAAGTGGGTCTCTGCCGAAAAACGTTTGGAAACCCTGATCTATTAGATAACACACACCATACCTGCCAACATAGGGAGGTTTGAGATTTGGACAAGTGGGCAGGCTCTGATGGGGCATCATCCATGATAATGAGCACATCTGCCCAGAAAAGAGCCTGTCTGGGCAGCCCCCAACCTACAGGATCTTGCAGACAATGCTGCTGTAGCACTTTCTGCAGGATCCTACTGCCCATTGACAGCGCCTAATGTCCAATGATGTGCTCACAATGTGCTGCCAGGACAGTTCCCTGGTGTCCATGGATGCAGGGCACCAGGGAACAAAATTGGGACAGGGCACACAAATCGGTATAATTTGTGTACATGTATCTGTATAAGCCTCAGTGATCTAAAAATGTGTTTTAACAGAGAAATGTTATTTTTAGGAAGATATATGATTTAGGATGACACATATAATAATAGCCAATCCCTATCCTTTGAAAGTGCAATTTTAGAACACAAACTTGGTTTCCTTGCCTTATGGCCTCTGTCTGCCCTGGAGTTGACGGATAAGCTCTGCACATCCTTTTCAGAAGGAAGTAGAAATCCATAATATTCACACCAGGATAAATAGTATAATATCTGTGCCAGGACATCCTAAAATAAAACTGGACAAAAATAGTATTTTCAGCGGAAAATGTCAGGGTTAATAGTAAACAATGCACTTGTCCGTGTGGATTGTGGGAAATTGTAGTGTCCCGTTAATTTTTGTGCACAGGTGCAGTGTAATATCTAATGTGATCATACAAATTCAGGACAAGGTTATTGGGTCACACATGAAGTTAATCAGTTATACTTGGAAGAAAACAGGAAATCAATCTACAATGTATTTCTACAGCAACCATACTCTGCTGTACTGTGCTATGACAACAATCAGATTATTTTCCTTCGTATAAAAATATATATATTTTTTAAATTCCACGTTCTTCCTCAGAAATGTGAACTCGTATCCTTATCTAATAGGGTCAGTGTCGGACACCTTCGTTTCTATTTCCTACTTGAATCTCCTTGCTTAAGAAATGTGCCAAATTTAGGAAATTTTAAATAAGAGGAAAGGAATAGGTGTGGTGGCCTGAAATCGTGTAAGTTACCTATTTATTTATACACGACTGTTTGTTTTGGCAGACAATCTATGAATCTATGGGAAAAGTCTGATTCAAATTAATCTTCAGAGAGCTGAAACGTGAGTCAGTTACTGTGATTGCCTCAAAGCAACAGTACATCATTGTTCTCAAGTCCAACCATTGAGGAACAGGATTACGATATATATACATATATATATTTTGGAAAAGAGAGATATCAGCCCAAGTTGTACAAATTGTTGAACTTTGTTGTGCAAAACTAACAGCCAGTCCAGAACTCTTGGTTTATGCTTAGAACTCTAATGATTTTTCTTTATAAATTACTGCAGTTCTAAGCCACCTACAGAAGTGAATGTTGGTGCAGGCTATTCTGTGCACAGTTGATTTTGCAATTATGGAAAAGTGTGGCAGTGCTTGGATACATCAGGGGACACCAGTTTTGGGTTAATTCCCTGGCTAGGTTTAGAACCCATCAATGTTCCTATTTATGGTCATCCTGTCTGAATGGTGCAATTTAATTAAATTGGGTCTAGAGTAAAGAAATCTAAAATCTGAATAGTACTAAATTGTGACTGAAGGCTGGCTGTACAGTTGTCAAACATAAGTTGGTCAATAACATCTGAAACCTAGGACATACCAATCTGAATAGTCCAGGTTCAACAGGTAAACAAAGGTAGTACATGGTTTAGTCACGTACATTAAAGGATTACTTCAATCATCATAAGCATTATAGCCTGCTGTAGTGGTTATGATGGTGGGAGTAGCTTGACGCTCATTCATTCGACGAGAGCATCAGCAGGTCACTCTCAGCTAATGAATGACATTCTGTGTACAGAATTATGCACACAATTGACATTAGCTATTCCTGAGATCTTATTCCACGCTGACTAATGTCGTCCCAATTATACAGCCCATTGTGGAGCTCCACATACAGACTTTGGGCACCATGACCACTTGAACTCACTGAAGTGTCCATGGTTCCTGGAGTAACCTTTTAATTACAGAGATTGTTTTGTCAATCTTATTTTTATTGCGGTGTAAGCAAGATTCTCACAACGTACAGTAATACCATGTACAGTAGAGTAGAAACATATGCAATACAACAGAAATGTAGGATAGTACAACATCATTTTTGTATACTAGTCAGTTGAGAGATTTAGTCACATTGTGGATGTGTACTAATAACCACCAAGACCGCTCAGAGGTAACCATATGGTAGCATGAGTATCCTATCTCAGTGTGCAGAAGAAGTTAGCACTTTAGAGTTAGACGACCATAAGCATGTTGTGCATTTTAGTAAGACTACGGTTATATACAGTAACAGTTTTTTAGAATTGGTGGCTTCTAAATAGACATGGTGAACGTGTGACTGTAGTATAAACCACATGGAGGCTGCACCTCAGTAGGATAGCAGAGAGGAGCTAACAAGCTTATAAGAAAAACAAATATAAACTGGTACATAAATATAAACATAAGGTCTAAGTAAAAGGCACTCTATATAGAGATATCGACTCAGGCCCTCACTAAGAAACGCAAAAATACACGTGGCAGTATTAATGATAGTAAAAGCATGATAAGATTACACTAGGTATTAAGGAAGGCGGTACGCATGCAATATTTAGTGCTAAGAATACATGCTGTTAACATGTCCTAATTGTGGTAAGTGCCATACAATAGTCAGGTGTAACTAAGAATAGAAATATGTGTTTTATTGCAGTAAAACTAAATCAATATTATGATATTCACAGTATAAAATGTCATGCTGAATTCAGAATTAATAACATCTTAATTTATCACACTTATTTTGATTTTATTTATATTAAATTATGTTTCATATATAAATATTTGATGTGAAATGAAAGTCCTATTTATCCTGTATACAATCATATATAATATGCGAGGGTTAATTTTTTCAAAAGAAGTAAATAATGATAGAATAAACATATAGGTAATAAAGGGCTTGCTGCCTGCTAGTATTAGAGTATTTATTTTAGGAGTCCACCAAGTCCCTGACTGGGTATTGTGTAGGAATACTTGTGAAGCCCATTGAGAGGGCCAAGAAGCTCATCATGGGTGGCGCACCCCTCCAGCCCCATGCCTGTTGGAGAGCTGACACCTTATGACCACGAATTTGGTTACTCATACAACCCAGATTTTTTCCCATATGGGAACTGTGCAAGGCCTGCCTGCATTATCGACACAATCTCCGGCAGTGATGTAGAACAGCATTCCATCTGCAAGGGTGGTGTGCCGGGGCCGTACCCAGAGTAGCTCTCAGCCCAAGAGGGTAAATGCGAACATTAGTTGCAGCCTCAAAAACATCTTTGCCTCTCCACGATACCTATGCACTTCCTTTGTAGGCAGAGAAGTCGGTGCCGTCATCCATAGGCGTGCCTCCAGTTTGGCCCATAAGAACCCGAAAATAGCATCCAGTCTAGCCATGGGTGGCTAGACTGGATACTATTGGTGTGGGACAAGGCCCTGTGTTGTCAGAACACCTGAGTCGGTCATCAGGGGCTGAACGGAGCTTGTAGTTTCACTATGTAGGATTAAGGTGTGTAGCCCCAGGATAACCCCCACCAGTCCAAAGGTGGAGTAGGGTGGCCTAGACCGCAGTCAAAGCACAGGCAAGATGGGAGATCGTCCACGTCTCTTGCCCCAGAACTGATCGCAGGCTGCAGTTAGTGTTGGGCCACACAAAACTTCAAGCAATGCCGGTAAAAACAGTTCAGAAGTCACCAAAGCTGTATACAAAGATCGTAACTCCAATTCAGCCGCTCATTTACAAATGTTATTGATTTATAAGCTGATTTCTCACAACAAGCTGAGGAGCTCCCTCAGCCTGGTTCCTGCTTGCTTGGCAGTCAGGTCCCGCCCTCTATCTCTGGAATTCAATTACAGAAATACTAATTCACCTGTAATGGGCTGATCCGTTGATGTTAAAACACTTTGCGGTACACAGGGCTGCACTTATATCACAAGCACCTGAAGGCAGATAATTCTTAACTCTTCAAGGAGGGAGGCAATTGTCCAAGTTCTGAACCAAACTTAGTATTTAAGCTATATATGTTTGTTCAATCATAATTTAACTCTTTCACAAAAGTGCACCCTCACGTATTATATATAATTTTGTAGAGGAGAAATAGGCATTTCATTTCACAAATATAATTTAATATGAATAAAATTGAAATAAGTGTGAGAAATTGAGATGTTCAATTCAGCATGGCATTTTTTTTTATTGTGAATATCACAATACTGATTTTGTTTTACTGCAATAAAACACATTTATTTCTATTCTCTGATGTCCTACAAGTACAACAACGCTCCCTATGTACAGGTTTGCTGAATCTTCTGGAAATTACAGGGCCTAATATGAGCCCCAGTCACATTTAGAAATTTGACAAATTGATTTTCTGGATGTCGCTTTTGAGGCAGTATGGCTGCCTAGTAAAGAAAATTACCCCCATCAGGACCAGATTTAGATGTAAGCACATAAATTCTAAGGTTCCCCCTGCTAATATTATATTGCATGCCTAAAACCATCTAAGTTGCATTTGTATAAATGTATGGGTGCATATGTCTGCTCTACTTGCAATGTATTGTGTCTAATCTGTGTGTATAGTGAGTGTATGCAGCTATGTAAATACATGCAGG